AACATTCTCAGCGCTGCATACAGGTATAGGTATCACTTGGTACGAAGACAAGGAATGATAAGGAATAAATCCTCCGCGCCACCCGGTATAACCATCCAAGAAAATAGCAATGCCATGCAGAAAAGCAGAAAAAAAGCAAGAGGGCTTCTCCAAGAGCAAAAGAGAACCACGCGGATTAGGGAGAAGACGCACGCTAGAGCCTAAAAGAAAAAGGAGCCTGTCAAGATTCTCCGCCCTCTCTACACCACCCACCCTGCCCGGTCCTGAGGTATGGATACCGTAGAACTGGAGTTTCTTCTAAAGTGCAAACCCGCGCCTTTGCGTGGGCCAAAGATCCATGTCAGGGGAATAGACGAATGCTTGTCGCGTCCAGTTGTGAGCTATTATTTAACGGGGAAAAGATAGAAAAGCCCCAAGCAGAGTAACACCTGGGTACGAGATGGGGTATAGTTTATTTTTTTCCTTACTGTTTTCTTGTAAGAGCGATCTGCGGAGCAAGTAGAGCAAGGTGACGCATCGCGCAGTAACCAAAAAAAAAAATAGTGTAGATGATGGAGGAAACGCTGCGTCGGAGTCAAAGGTTTGTTGGTTGGGGGGGTGTTTGTGTGGGGCGTGCATCGCGAAGAACGCTGGTGTAGTACGGCACGGATTCTATTCTCGTGCCGCCGCGACTCGCCGCATGGCAAAAAATAACAGCTCATGTATACTCCTGCCCGCCGAACTAAGCGCCTGGAGTTTGCCCTGTTGGCTGTGCCCGGAAGCCAGACCTGGAGAGACCGCTCCCGTCGGGTAGCCGCAGCTCCGAGTAGTTCCGCCGCCAGGAAGTGCTGGAGGACATGGACGACGTCGAGGTTGCTGCTGACGTCGGAGCAGCCAGCGGGCTGGCGGCGCTACTGCTGGAGCCGCTGCTGCTGCCGCTGCCGCTGCTCAAGTCATCACTAGGTGTTGCTGCTGGAACTGGAGCCTGGCGTGCCGCGGCGCGCTCCTCGTTGAGGCTTCGCCCAATCATATCGTGCAGAAAGTCAGGAACTTCGTGCCAGCGACCGGCCCGGGCGGCACCCATGACGCGGGCCCGGGAGAGGTCGTCGTGTGGGATGGGCACGGGGTTGGGGTGCCTAGCCAGTCTCGTGATCTGCTCGGCGACGAGGTGGAACTCGCCTGTCTCGATGGCGTTTTTGAGCCACTGCTCCCACTCCTCGTCGAGCGGCTGCGACGTGTCGCCGGCATTGTGTGCAGCAACCCGCTGGCGCAGGCGCTCGTTTAGCTCCACGCCCACACTGCCCTGGACCTCGTCTTCACTATCGTCCGCGTCGGGGAGCTCGTCGTCTGCGGCGGCGGTGCCTGTGGTCTGTATCCGAGTCCGCACGCTGCTTGCGTCGTCCTCGTCGTCCTCCTCAACCTCGGGCTCCGACTGCGCGGCGCGGCGCTCAGGCGGGATCCAATCCGAAAAGCCATCGGCCGTGGTGTCGCGGATGGTGACGCCCGATTCCTTCTCGTACCGCTCCTTGGCCCATTTGGTGCCTTCCCATTTCGTGAGGCCGTAGATCTCTTCGTTGGTCAGGCGCAGCATGTCAAAGGCGCGGAAGAGGCGGCGGTGCCACTGCCAGCGGCTTAACCGTATGCGGTGCGTGGGATGGCAGTAGTCGAGGCCAGGGTATTTTGACTCGTCATCGTCGATGTGGCCGTAGAAGGCGTGCACCTCGTGACGGACCTCAGCGATGAGGTGCCTGGTCAGAAAGGCCTGGAAGTTATGCGGGTCGCTCTGCTTGGGTCGCGGGAACAGCGCTTCGTAGACCAGCTCGTCGATCGGTCGCCGCTTCATCTTGAACAGCCGGCTCTGCCCCGCGCGGTTGCTACAGGCAGTGGTGATTCCGTCCTGCCCCAGAAGAGTCCGGACTCGATGATGATGCGGTGGGGGGTTCGGCCAGGGGCGCGCGCCGAGGCAGTGGTGTTTTCTTTTTTGGGCTTGTTTTGTGTTGGGCGGGCGGACGGGCGGACGGGCGGCGGCAAAGGTAGACGAGGCCTTTATGTGGGAGGCGCAAGCAGTGCAGTAGAGTGCTGCTCCGATCAACGGACTAAGACTGGGGTGAGCAGAGGGAGGCGGTATTTGAGGTCAGATAGGCAGGGCGGGACAGGCAAGGGGCGTCGGTCGGAATGGTTGGGTTCAGTCTTCCTTAATAATGCGCCCGCCTTCAGCTGCTGCCCTTCAGGCTGGCCGAGTGGGGCCCTTGTGGGATCGTGCTAGCCACAGGGAGGCCCTTCCTTCCCCAGCGGCGGCCATTGGGCCCCCCACGCCCACCAAAAAAAAGATGGCAGTCCCACCTAATCAACAGAAAGGCTGCGAGACTGCAAGAGCAGGAATAGGAATATAAGTAGGAAGAACGATAGAAAAAACCATGGTGATAACAATACAAGTGATAATGTAAAGAAAAACAGGAATAAAAGGAGAAAAATAGGAATAGGAAAGCCTATAGCATCAGCAATTCTGATAATCGCTGGGATCTGTAAAACTACCATCTTTTTTTTTTGTGGTAAGCGTCCCTTCCTTCCCCAGCAGCGGCCCATTGGCTCGTCGGTGCAATTTGCTTTTTGATGCCAGGGGCCGCTGGAATGTGTGCGTGGAGGGGGGGGGGGGGGAGTTGCTGACGGTGCTGAGTCCCTAGGGAGGGATGGAAGTCAGAACCCAAGAGAAACGGGACCTGCAGGTTCCAGCCAAAGAAAAAAAAGCCAAGCGCCGCCGACATCCTTGCCACAGCCAGTCAGTCGCCTGTTTGCATGATGCACGCATTGCGTGGCGGATGCAAGCTCACACAGGTTGAACCTGTTCGCGTCAACAGCTCAATGGGCCATGCCAGCTGGCCTTGCCTTGCCTGCCTACCACCTACCTATACCGTAGGTACCTAACCTAGCTCTCCTCAACTGTCCTCCCGTCGTTCCAGCGGCCGTCTCGGCCGGCCGTGACGGAGCCGCTATTGGAAATCCTGTCCAGCAATCAGGGCCACCCCTTGTGCCCTCCTCCCCTCCTCCTTCCCTCGGCCGGCCGGCCCAGGTGGCCAGCAAGCCAGCTTCGGCGGCCCAGCGTGCGCCACCTCGTCGCCAATCGCCGGGCAATCCATCGAGCGGGGGCGGCCTCGAGGAGGCGAGGCCAGAGGGCCCGGAGAGGCGGCCGGTCAAATCTTCTTGTCAAGCGACATTATCATCGCGCCATCCCAAGGTTGCATGACACCCACTCGAGACAGGACAGCAGCGAGACAGGGTTCCTGGCTTCCACGTGTCGCCTTGGGTGCGGCTTCTCATGACGAGTCGTTTGTATAGAGAAAAGGTCGCTCCCTTTTTTTTTTGCTAAACTTGGGTTACAGGGTGACGAGTCCAGAGACAATGCTCGGGGTGACAGACGCCTCATGACAAAACTCACATCTCCAAGGGGGCTGTTGTTCCACAATGGGTCATGAGCCCGAAAGAATGACTCCTCGCCCCGCTTGACATAAAACGCTTGAAGCAGAAAAAAAAAAGTGAAAACGGCCACATGTCCCCCGCGTCGTCAGTTGTACTCCGAGTCGGTCGTCTAGACCCCTAGCTCCCCGGAGCTCTGCGGTAGTGGCCGACGGGGGCTCCGTCGCCGCGCCGCCGCGTGCTCGTCGTCGTCGGCCTGCCCGCTGCTGCCCGCCCCACCGCCGCCCAGGCTCGCAGGCCCCTCCCCCCACCCTTGCCCGTCCTCCACCAGCGTCGTCTCCGAGTCTGGGCTGTGTGCCGGCATGACGCGCTGCCGCCGCCGCCGGAGCCACCACCTGTGGAACCGGCAGTACAGCCGAGGCGCGAGTTCGACCAGCTTGGTAGGATGACAGTCTGGGGACAGAGGGCCTTCAATGCACTGCGGCACAAATTTTTTTTTTTTTGACTTTGGTGTCAGCAACGTTGGCCGCACATCAGACTAATGAAATTACATCGCTGAATGACGAATCTTTTACCTCGAAAGCATAGTGGCGTATCACGCAGCCACAGCCGCGGTACTGGTGATAGTAGCGTCGACACATGGCCCTGATGGCAGGCGGTCCAGACTGGCGACGGCCGGTCTTGGGTAGATATCTATGCCGAGAACAAAACTATAATGACTCAAATGATTGTGCGTTGGTTACTTCCTGTCGTGGTTCGAGCGTGTAATTGAGATAGATTAGAGGTACATATACAGCGTAGGTGGTCATGGGGACGCGAACGTGTAATCAACGATCGAAAAGAGACTTTCATCAGGCACATACAGGTAGCACGAGGGAGTGCGCGCCCACCGCCCACCGCCCACCGCCCACCACCCATGGGTCCTTCCTCCCGAGAGACTGCTCTGTGGCGGTGGTGAGACGATGTTTGAATGTTTAGGCAGGTCCAATGGGGACTCGTTGATGGTTGACACCGCAAGCCAAGTCCAAAAGGTCGCTCGCACTCGTTATCTTCATATTCTTGACACCGCTCATCTGGTAGAGCATAGAGTTGGATATAGATGGAAAAGGGGAGCACTATCATTTTAGGAGAAGGGTTCGCGAACATAAAGAAAGGCCAAAAGCGACAGTAAAAATCACAATGGCCAATCGCTTGCAGGAACGAAAAATGAGGGAAACCCAAGGAGATCGCTAATGGTGAACAACGACTATCGAAAAGCCAAACATCTAATGTCATATATCAAGAATAAAAAGAAAAACCCATGAGCTAGAGGAGAAGCAGCCATCATGAAACAAAGCCTTCGTGAAAATGCCGTACCAAAGTAAACCCATCAAAGTCGTAAACGCGTCATCAGCCCATAACCAAACTAATGATGCACATCCAGCCAGCCGCCACTGACCACCATTAAGTCAATAAAAGCAAAAAGTCCGGCGGCGAACGTTCAGGAAGCCTTCTCAAGGCGACCACCCCGTCTCCGAACCGGTCGGGTACTTCCTCCCACTGACACCTGTGACTTGGACGACAGGGCTGGGCCCGCGTGGGTCACCCCGCCTGCGCTCGTCACGGGGGCTGTCTCGGTCCCTCTCGCGCTCCCGAAAGAGATGGTCCACGTCGACGCCGCGCCATCTGTCAATGTCGGCGTGGCTACTCGTCCTCCGGTAGACGTCGGGCCGATACGTGTACTTGCCCCGGTCTCCATGTCGCTCAAAGTCGCGGTCCCGCTCCCTCTCCCGCTCCCGGTCGCGCTCTCGGTCCCTCCGGTTTCTCCGGTCTCGTTCGTCTTCCACGTCCCTGTCCCGGTCGCGATCTCGGTCACTATCGCGCATGCGATCTCGGTCGCGCACGTGGTCACGGTCCCGGTCGCGATCCCGCTCTCGCTCTCGGTCCCTGTCGTACATCTTCCTCCGGCGCCGGCGACGCTCCCGGCTGTCGTCAGAAGAGGTTGGATCACTGTCATAGTCATCGTTTCGAGACCATCGGCCAGACTTCGAACCCGGCCCATCGTCGCGCGAGTGGCGTGATGAAGGCGCCGCCCCGCCGCTATGTTGCCGAGACGTGCTGCGGGGCCGATCTCCGCCGGGCAGGAACGACGAGATGAATGGGATGTGGAACCGCGTCCGAGGTTCATCCTCGCGTCGCCGGGACCGGCGTTCGTCCACGTCGGCGTTGGTTATCGGGGCCGATGTGGAACCGCCCACGGGTGGGTTCGGGCCGGGGCTTGGCGCACGGGGCCTGATGGGTTGCGGTTGAGTATTTGTGCGCCGGATGGGCACGCTCGTGGGATCAGGTGATGACTGATGCGATGGGTCAGGATGGCGCCTTTTATGACTGGTGCGCGGACTCGGGGCATGATCCGAATCACTCGGGGATTCGCAGTGTCTCGGCTGGCTGTGTCGGCGCGGGGCTACGGGCGGCACATGGTGGGGATCGGGTGCCCGAAGATGCTCCGAAGAGCGCGAGTGCGTATGATTAGGGTCGTGCGCTGCATTCGCGTGGTCCGAGAAGCTACGCCGGCGGGCAGCATCCTCGGGTGACGAGCCGCGGCGCGAGCTGCCGCGCCGCTCGGGCGACAGCGGCGACGGAATAGGGGGAGGCCGCGGGTCTCGCACGTGGCTGAAAGTCACGGGGCGCGAGTGCGTGGTGCGAGTACGCGGAGAAGTTGACGGTCTTGGTCTAGAAGAGGTGAAGGCCGAGGCGGTGGTGAAACCTGCGGCTCCGGCTGTAGCACCGGCCGCGGCTCCGGCTGCGGCAGCAAAGCTTCCGCGGACATGGGAATAGCCTTCTTTGACCCGGGCATCTGGGAAGGTGGGTCGCGGCTCCTCTCTAGGGGTTGCCTCGCGGCGTAGAGTCTCGGCGCAGTTTTGGTGCCACTTGTTGATGTCATCGTCAGTCTCCTTGGGAAAGGCCTCGCGGGGAAGCTCTTTCGGAAACGGCTCGCCCGTCTCGGGGTGTTTGAGGTCCCATTCCTTCAGGCATGTCTGGATGTAGGAGTGATATTCCTCGGGGTCGAGGAGGATGTTGATCCACATCCAGCGCACGAATCCCTTGACAGTCAGGGCAGGGATAGACGGAGGCTCAAAATCGTTGGCGGTCGGTTGGAGGGCGTGCTGGCAGCCTAGGACTTGCCAGACATACGATATGGACCGTGAAGGCATGGCGAGGAAAGCTACACGGTGGGTTAGGCTGGTGTTAGCGAGTCCAGCAACAGGCCAGGGCTACCAATGAGGTGCGACTAACTGTCCAGATTACCACCAGCGGCGCGGAAAAAAGGGGCAAGTTTTTTAGGGACCAGAGCTTTGCAGCTCTTGTCGCCAAGCTCTTCAACCTGACAAGGCGGTATAGACTGTTAGCTCAGCTCTTGCGCAAGCGGTTGTGAAGATGCGCGATAATGCGCGCATGGGCAGAATATATGCATACGATATACTGAGCTATAGCTCTCAGGAGCGCATTGAGCACCGGCGTTGCCGCCTTGTCGTCGCCAAACAGATAGCCATAGTAGGCCTTGGGATCAACCGGGTCTGTAGCCATCCTCGCGGTCGAGGGGCGGTTGAGCCGCACGCGCAGCTTTGGGCGTGAGGAGTTCTAAAACAAAACAAGAACGAGGGCGACACTGAGGTCTAGATTGGTGGTGGCATGTCCCGCAGGGCTGGGTGTCCGGCGGGAGGAAAAGAGCAGAGGCCTGGTGCCTGGCGTTGGGATCGAGCGTGTGACTGAGGGGCTTCGGCGCAGTGGCTGTTGGAGCCGCAAACAAGGCAATGCGGTGTGACGAGTACGTAACCGACCAAGTCTCGGCCGGGATTGCACGACAGCGCGGGGGTAGCGGTCCTGGCGAGAGACGCACGGCAACATCAATCGCTCTCTCCTCCTCCTCTCGTGTCCAAAAGTCTTTTTATAAACCTGTCGTTGCAGTCGGCGCTAATTGGCGTGGTGCTGGTGCTGGTGCTGATGCGGCGGGCCGTGCTGCCTCACAAAGTCGCAATTGAGATGCTGAGGGGTCTCCTTGGTGGTCCTAGCGGGTGGCAGCGGCTGCTGTTGGCGGAGGCCGCACGTGTGTGGTCCAGTTCTCGGTCAGGTAAGTGGTGGGGATTGGGCTGAGGAGGGTGAGCACTGAGGGCGGCAGGAGATGCTTGCGGTGATAAATAAGCGCAGTCAACAGGCCAACAGCACAATGGAACCAGGCTAGGCTCTCCGCTTCAGCTGCTGACGTGCTGGGCGGCGCTGTTGCGAAGCAGTGCACGACAAGAAGGAAGGATGCAATTCCCGAGTGAGAGCTGCGAGCTGCTGCGACCAGTGGAGCTGATTGTCTGGGACATGCAGCTTTTCTGCTTCTTTCGCCTTGGGAGCCAGGCATGCCCCCGCCCGGGGTGTGCCCTGCCAGACCCTGTCTATCTGGTTCATGGAGACATTCTGGGTTCGCCGGGGTTGATATTCCTAGAATACCACCCTTCCGCCTCATATCTGCACAATCTGCACAGGGCGCCCTGGAGCTGCGCTTCCTGACATTCTGACGTTTCCGCCCTGTCTGGACGAGCGGGGAGTCATCCCCGACGGCTTCACTACGCCCGCTCGAAACCTCGGCGACAACCCGAGAGTGAAGGAAGGAAGGAGGCTGTACGCTAGCAGAGAGTCCATTCCAGAGGTCGATCCCAGCAGCGGCCAAGTCCAGTGTCTTCACCGCTTTGCAGTGCCGCCAACCCTGTCCACAAGTTGTGCATCCTGACCAATTGGGTTCGTCATGACGGGGCAGCTTGGCAGTCCGCAGTCGTTGTGAAAGATCCAAATTTGGCACACCCTTGTGGTGCGTCTTACTACAACTGCATGCCACGGTGCTGTGCTAGCTCTCCTGCGCACAACAGCACAGCCTTTCTCGTGCCCAGAAGTTTGTGAATGGAAGCCACCAGAAGTGGGCCGAAGCGCGCAAATCTCGACGCTAAACACCTAAAGTTTCCTAGGTATTTGCCAGGCAAGGCAAGGGTAGCGTGGTAGGGGTAGGTATGCCACAACAAACGGGCCGCCCGCCTGCGCCGCAAGTCTCGGCTCCCTACACGCCTGGCCGGGCCACCACGAGGCGATATGCGACGAGGCCGACGGTCTTTGAGGGATCCCTCAAGTCGGGCTCGACAAACTCACTGAACCGCTCCAGCCCGCATTTCCTCAGCACCCCGTGCGACCGCTCGTTCGAGGCCTCGACAAGGGCCACCAGCACCTCGTGCGCCTCGACGGGCTCCTGCTGGCCCGCCGTGACGGCCACGACAGACCTCCTGTCCACCCTGATTTGCGCCCGAGCCCGGGGCAGCCTCACGTACGCCTCGAGGAACGCCCTGACCAGCTCCGTGGCCAGGCCGCGGCCCCAGAACTCCTTGCGGATCATGTATCCCAGCTCCGGCCAGCTGCCTCAAATCTCATGTCAGCATTTGCCGCAACCGCCAAGAGAGTGTTGAATAATCCGAGAAGAAGAACATGCCCATAAACCCCTTTATAGCGGTGCGAACCTCCCATGCCGATGAGCTCGCCCGTTTCCCGCCAGCAGATGGCACAGTTGAAAGTCTCGACGTCGTTGGGCGGCAGGTAATTGTCCAGCTTGTGTTGCGTCTCGGCCATGTCCTTGTCGCCTCGGCCGGTTGACGTCCACACCATGACCTCTGGTTGCGTCCGCAGCACGTGAACGGCGTTCAAATCCTCCGCCCTCAGGGCCCTCAGGACGAGACGCTCCGTGACCACATCAGCCCGTTCAGCGCTCCTGGGGAGCGGGAGCGACGGGAGGGTAGTGTTGACCACGACGAAATCGTCCTCGTCGGGCACGCGGTTATCTTGATTGTATGTCATCATCTTGGGGATGGTCGATGGTGTTGTGACGGGGATGGGGTTTCGGAATGCGAGGAAAACAGGGTGCCGTCCATGGTGAGGCTGAGCATCCCCTTTTAAACCACCGTCCTCGCCAGCGTCGGGGATTTCGCCGAAGCAGGCTGTTCACGATGACTCAATCCATTTCAGGTGCTGGAACCAATAACCCCGCCGAACCAACTTCCGCTATGTTGCGGTGGATCCACCCAAGAGGCAGGTGCTTGGGCAGAGAAGTAAGCCATCACCATGTTGGAGTACAGCAATCCGACATTACCTAACAATCACACATCACAAGACAGCAACACCACATCGCTCTCACGAACTCGCCCGGGATGAAGTCAACATTTTTGAAACCATAACTCCTGTCTCATAGAACTCCAGAAGAATGACTTGCCCGCAATGTCTCGCAACCCGCAAGCCCCTTCTGGTCTGCAAACGACCATTGGACTCCCGGGATAAAGACCATGCACAAAGTTTATTCTTCGTTCGTCGTCGCCCTTCCCAAGAGCAAATGCTGAGAGACATGTCCCTGAACCCGTAATGAACACCTGCAGAACCTCCCGAACCCTGGCATCACCGACCCGTTTAAGCAAAAGTGGATGGACGCTTCGCACTGAAGATCTTCTTGGAGCTGATCTTGGGCACACGGTGGGGGAGGGGGAAAGTGAGGTTCTTGGTGACAAGCTGCTTGATGTAGGGGCGCTTGATGTCGTCCGTCTTCTCAATCTCGACGACGCGGAGAATCTATGGAGATGTGTCAGTATGTCTTCGATCCTCAGCCGGCCGCAGGGCAACATACGTGGATGGATCGGAAACGGGCACGGTGGCGGGCGGACATGTCCGAGTACAGGGCCTCAACGGCGGCAGTCCTGGACATCTCACGGTACTCCTTGTACATGTTGTGGGTGCCCGAGCGCGAGTCGTAGCGGATCCAGATACCGAAGTTCTTGACCTTCATGGGGTGCTTCTCGTGGATCTGTCGAACACGCAGTGTCAGCGCCATTGCTCACCATTTCTGTCCGCCGCATGCCGCATTGGACCCGGGAAAGCTATCGCAACATACCACGTTGACGCTGACGATCTCACCCGTGGCCTTCTTGACCTTCTTGAGACCCCGCAGGAAGTACCAGTAACGGGACTTGGCGACGACAGTGTTGGGCGCGAAGATCCTCATGCGGTACAGGCTGGGGGTAGGGTTGGTCTCGGTCGGCAGATGCCGGCCGATGACCTGGTATTCCTGAAGACGACCTGTAGGTGGACTACAAGTCAGCAAGCCGTCCGCTATGTATTTTCGTGAAAGTCCTCCCGTGCTCCAGCTTGATGCGAGGCTGTTGTGCGACTGATGGTGCGTTCGTCGTGGTCTCAACACGCCGAATCTTGAATTGAGGCCAGTGTGACTGTAATCCGCAACCAAAAAGTCGAGAATGGAGCACTCGGCTGCTCGTCGCTCTTGTCCTCGCAGAGTCTACCATTCGAAATCGGCGACGTATTGTCAAGACGGCTTCTGATCGAGGAGGGATGGCATCGCAGTGACGTGAGTAGCCGTCGCTAGGGCCTACACGCTGCAAAATCCCCAATATTGAGGGCGTCGCTTCGGTCGGGAGACAAATCGGTGTGCTGCCGTCGTCGACATTCGGGAGGGACCGGATCCATGATGCATCGCCCATCGCCGCACCACCTGGACAAAAAAACAAAAGTAGCTTACCCATCTTGAAGAGAGTGTCAGTTCCTATACTCTCTTGTAGTTGACTTCAAGAGGCAGCAGTCGGGTGCTTACTGTGAATGTATTTTGTTGGTCGCTGGTCGTTTAGCTGGTCGTGTCTGCCGCCTTGCTTCGCTCTCTTGCAAGAAAGTTTGAATTGGTGGTTGGCGACTGACAAAATTGGACTGGATGTGGAAAAAGCCCTAATCGCGGCAAAGCCACATTTGGTGGGCGTGTGGGTGGTGGGGCTCAGGGTGGCCCAATGTGGCGGGTTGGTGTGGCTTGAAAGGGGAGTGGCGGGCGAATCAGAGCCCAGGTCGCTGCCTGGGGCAAAAGGCGGGTACCAAGCCAACCGTACCTCTCCGCTAAGCTCCCTATTTCCTTTCTGGGAACCTTGCCGTGTGGTATCCACGTGCGCCTTGATCCGCATCACACATCACAGGAGCGGCGTCTCTGACCGTCACGTCGCCATGGATCAACTGCTCGACCGCTTCGCCGAGGCGGTCCGTTCAGGAAATGGCCCCCTCTTGGCGACCACGCTCGCGCCAGCAGAATCGGCAGAGAACCTTCAGAAGCTCCAGGCCATCTGGAACAGCGCCTCACCCCAAGATGTCAAGGGCGTGATCCGCAACCGAATCAGGAAGAAGGTCGGCTCTCACCTCTCCAACGATGAGGTACAGGGCTGGACAGAGGTCTTCACTGCCTTCTGGAAGGCCGTCGGCGAGATCCTCTCCATCAATGGCCTTTCGGGGGCACAGACCAAGCCGTCATGGTCAGGCGTGTATGAGGCGTGGAAAGAGCTGAACTCGATGATCATTCGGGGCTACACCAACCACGGCTTTCTGGCCTGGACTATCCCATGTCTGTACGTGGCAGGCAAGTACCTGAGACTTTTCGCCGTCAAGGCCGATGAGGAGCGCAGCAGGACCTCGAGCGACGCCAACAACACAACGTTTGAGGACGACTTTGAGACAGAGTCGGACAAGAACAAGCAGCTTGAAGACTGTGCGAGACAACTCAACCGGATATTTACCCTCTGCCTCAGCGACAGGTATGTTAGTCTGCACAAAGAGTGCTGATACTCGGGACCCCAAATGCTGACCAGCTCGATACCAGAGCTCCGTTGGAGGATTCAAGGAAATGGGGCATTTACTACATCATCAATCTGCTGTTCAAGACATACTTCAAACTGAACTCGGCGAGTCTGTCGCGGAATATCCTGAAGGCGCTCAATGCATACAAGGGCGACATGCCCGCCCTGGTGCAGTTTCCCAAGTCCCAACAGGTCACCTTCAGGTATTATGAGGGCGTACTCTCGTTTCTAGATGAGAATTATGTCGAGGTAGGTTTGCCCCATAGCCTCTGGTCTGCCCACAGTGTATGCTGACACCCTCTGCTTCCAGGCCGAGACGCACCTTGAACAGGCATACACTCTTTGCCACAAGGACGCTCTCAAAAACAAACAGTAAGGCTTCCCTTTTCCGGAGACACATGGCCTTGACTGGGTCGAAGGCGACGTTTGAGGTTTGGAGTGCTCACATCTGCCGCCATGTGCGTTTACAAGGTTGATACTCATGTATCTTATTCCGTGCCGCCTCCTGACAAGTCACACACTCCCGAGCCCAGCACTCTTGGAGCCCTACGCAAGGCTGCAGGAGCTTTTCCTCCCTCTGTCGCGATGCATCAAAAAGGGAGAACTGCATTCCTTCGACCTTGCCCTACAGGCTGGCGAGGAGACTTTTGTGAAGCGCCGAATCTATCTCACTCTCGAGCGTGGCCGCGACGTTGCCCTACGCAACCTGCTGCGCAAGGTATTCCTGGTCGGCGGGTTCGAGGAGTCCAAAGACTCCAGCGCAGCGCCGATCCGCCGCACCCGGGTGCCCGTGGCAGAGTTCTCGGCCGCCATCAGCCTCAACAGCCAACACTCTCTGGATAGCGACGAGGTTGAATGTTTGTTGGCAAACATGATTTACAAGGTACGAGGATCTTCCCACCCCCATCTCGCTCCCTTTGGCCTCTAGGAATGGTTCGCAAATGCGCACGAGGCAAGGGCAGCGCCGCCCGCCCTATTTGCCACCGCAGTGACTCATCATCATAACCACAGAATCTCATGAAGGGATACATCCACCGAGAACGTGGAATCGCCGTGCTCAGCAAGACCGGGGCCTTTCCGGGAACTGGCGTGTGAGGGGTGTCGAGGCCAGGAAGGAACAATGACCTGCGCTGGGACTCATCCCGGCAGTGTCATCTTTGGCTCGACCTGGATCAGCCGTGGGACACCTCGATGCAACCAGGCCATACCTGCAACTAGTATACGACTCACTGGTGCATACATGACCCTTCCCCATGTCTGCGCTCGGCCCTTTATCGACAGCGCGGGGCCCAACCGATCGGTGCCAGGCCAAGGCCCCTCGGGCGAACCATATCTGTGACCTGACAAGAGGCCCGGCGCTACATTCGCGTGTGGGGGAAGCTGCAAATCACTTTGGCCTGTGACTCATTTATTCCACCCGTCCCGTTTAGTCCGCGGGAACCAGAAGTTTTAGGCGCTTCCACAGTACGGATTCCTCCGTCGGGTCTACAGGTCCCGCTTCTAGACGCCTTTCTGACAATGGGGTCAAAAACCTTGGCGTGGGTCCTGATATAGGGTTAATACTCCAAAACAAATTGCCTATCATTGGAACACCGGGGCGAAAAAATGGCACCGAACGAGCTGCATTATGTGCTTCTCCCAGAGGAGGGTTTGACCAGATGTCAAGAGGCCATCAAAGAGTGTTGAGAAGGATATTGATACAGTTTCGTCCTTGCGGTGCAATCTTTGTAGTAACGTCCCATCCCTCAGCCCAAGCCCCATCCCCGTATACACCAGCGTCGTAGTGTGGGATATCTCAAAAAGCGGGCAAAGATGGATCAGAAAAATTGACCGACACGAGAGATGTCGGTTAGAAATACAGTGCCCAGATATCCAAACAAGACAAACATGTAAAAGGAAATAAAAAAAATAATAAAAAGGCAAGGAGATGGCAGGCACTTGCCTCGCCCCGCTCTCATACCAGAGTTCCCGACAGAAAATGAGTCTAATGGTACAGCGAAAGGCGGATAAACAGTAGCGACGATTGAAAAAATGCACGCAACTCGAGTCTGGAGAGAATCGACGGGATATTGACGCAGGAATGGGCAAAAATGATGAAGGACCAAAATCATGCCGCCAGAAAAAGAAGTCCGCAACACCGGTTTGTCGTTCCCAGTCTTGAAAAGGAATAAAATGATGTAAGGAGGAGAAGAGGGGGAAATGAAACGGCATTTGAAAGATCCATAAAAGCCAAGGATTTTTTTTTGTCGTATCGAAGAGGAGAAAGGCAAGGATGAGTTAGAGAAGGGGCGTAAATCATTAGAGGCTGGCATTGCCGGGTGGACCAGGGTATTGTTTCTCTCCTTTTTTTTTCGTGGGGTATTTGTCTTTTCTTTGGAAGATGCACGATGCGCGTGATACTTGGACAAGGCAGCAAGCAGAAAGGCAGGGCTTGAGATGGGCGACGATAGCATTGGCTGAGGGGTGCGACAGCAACTATGGGGGGCCTAGGAGTGGCGACCGCTGCGAGGCGTGCTTCTGGATCGACAAACAGGTGGTTAGAGTCAACCCAATGAGGGAGGGAAAAAAAGACCCGCCAGGCAGCAAGGCAGCAGCGTCTATCGGACAAAAAGACTCACTGTGCGGTGGCGATGTCGTCTACGTGGTTGCACAGGGCGACAAACAGGTCGAAGAAGAGCTGCGTCCCGCCGTTGTACATCTCGAGCTGCATGGTGCCGCTGCGCTTGAAGGTGCTGCGGCTGCGGATGATGAGGGCCAGGTAGTGGGCGCGCAGCTTGGAGTCCGTGTCGGGGGTGTTGGCGTAGGCGTAGCGGGCAGACGTGAGGATGGTGCTACACTGGATGCCCGACTCTGTTTTGCATGGGGGAAAGGCGGACGGTCAGCACGAATGACAAGGACGTTGCGTGCATCAAGGAAGCAAACAAAAGAGATGAAAGACTTACGAAGGCCTTGCTTTCGCAGGGCGACACGCTTCAGCTCTTCTAGCCCGTACTTCTGGGCGGCGCAGTAGATGACGGTGTCCTTTAGGAGCTCACCGTCGGGCCCCTGGTGAATGGCGAGCGACCCGCCGCCGCGGCCGTCGCCCTCGACGGGCTCCAGCTCCCAGGAGTTGCGGCGCTTGTTGTGAACGAGGCGCGGGTAGTAGTCACCCTTGTACAGGTACTCCAGCACCGACGAGAAGATTTCGGGCTCCTCGTCGGGCAGGGCGAGCCGCTTGGACTGGGAATCCATGTACTGGTCCCGGAGCGCGGCCTCGAAGAAGGGAGAGTGGCTGAGGACGTGCTCATGCGCTGCGAAGATCCTCTGCTCCTCGCCCACCACCAGAGTGACGATGGCGGATGTCAGGTTGCTGCAGCAGGAGAGTGGAGTTAGCAGGTGTAGCGGAGTGATGGGATGAGAAGGCGTGAAGCGAAACAAGATTTAGTACCTTTCAATTGTGGGAGATGATGCCTCTGCCGCGGCGGTTGATGCCGTTGCTGGTCGGCGACGGGAGTCGTGGCGAGACTCGTGGCGACGCTTTGAGATGCCGGCCTCCTTGCTAAAGGATGAGCTGGACTTGGCGGGCTTGTGGCTCTTGGAAAAGCTCTTGCTCGAAGAGGGCGGCGGGTTGAAGCGGGAGGAGAACATTTTGTCTGATTGAAGTGCGTGACAGAAATGTGTCGATGGCGTTAAGTTGATGCCGCTGGCATTTACAAGCCACGAGACAGCAATAATGGTCTGGGCGGGGCGATGCGAGTATACAGGCGTGCGGTCGCGAATCTTGTTCGAGATGTGTGGAAAATGGGATGGATGGCGAGAGATGGGCAAACAGAGTGATTGATGGATGGAATGAGCCACAGGTTTGCGGGCGGGACAGAGTGAAAAAGCAATCAAATCAAACACGTCTTTTCTTACCTGAGGCCGCAGCGCAATGATGGAAAGAGGGGAGGAGGACGCAGAAGGCGATTGCGGGCACGGCAGTTATATAGGTACGCGGGGCCGGGCGCCCCCATGCAGGCCAAGCGGGCTATCTGCCAAGTACCTCAGTGCAGGAGGCGACCGTCCAGGCAAACACGTCGGTTGGCGATACCTGGGCGCAGATTGTCCGCTAACGCGTCGGGCCATCCAGCAGGTAACCCGATACTGTCGCGCATTCACGTGATGACGCTAGGCCAGATGCGGTCAGGGGGCTGAGTGGTGGCTGCGGGTTGCCGACATGGTTTTAATGAGCAGCCATGGTAAAAAACGGGGCCCCGTCGACCCGCGCAGGCTGATGCTGGTTTTGGGCGTGGGGACGACCCGCCCAACTTCGCAACGCTGGGCTCTGGCATGCTGGGCTCTGCAACCGTCACACAGTGACTGACGGCCATGCTGCAAGTAACCAGCTAGGTACCACCCCCTCGCACCCTCGCCATCTCCGTGCTGGAGGGGAGTCATAGCGGGCGCTGGGCCGAGCCAGACCTGTCGCTGCCCCGGACCAGCCTTCTGATTCGAGGACCTGACCAGCAGCCAAACCGAGCCTTCCCCAAGCCGGCCCAGCCATGCGGTGTTTGCTTCCCAGGGAGGGATGTGAATCCGTCCTAGCCCCTGATGAAGGCGTGGAGCCGTCGTACTACCCCTGTCCAAGCCCATTAAAAACCTTGCAACTCCTCACTCCAGCTGCTCGACGGCGGAAAGTTCTGGTGATGGGGCCACGATTGTGCTGCTCCACGCATGAGCATGTGCCAGCAGACGATTTCGTCAATTGAGTCGGCGCGCGTGTGGCCACTCTCACTGTTTAGATGGAAAAGATGCCAATTCTTCGCGGGGCGCCTTCACACAGAAGCTTTTGGCCTGCGGGAACCGATTCGTCGTCTCCAAGATCTGTGAAGCAGCGAACGCTGCTTCACGCGGCCCCCCGGGTCTATCCTGGCCGAGCTAGCTTGAGGACGTCCCAGAGAATGCCACCCTTGTCGTTTGGACAATGGATGATCCAGTTTGCCACCCCCTGATTCCGGCTGATGGGTCCGATCCTTGTGAGGTGCAGCTGCAAGTGAGCGAAGGCGCATTATTTGGGCCACATGCTTTGTGCAACTTGCCAGCGCGTTGGCTCCAAACGAAGCACATCAGCATCGCTCCTAAGGTTTACTGTTGATATACTTACTTACTCTTGAACTCGCTTCCGGATTCGTCTCCCTTTTTCTCCCTCATGTTCCTTTCTTGCTTATGACGTCTGCAGCGAAGATACCGATACTTCAACAAGATCATCACAATCCTTTTATCCAGAGTCCTAGCTCTCCCTTGCCTCCCTTGCTTGGTCGGCTTGTGCCCGCCCTCGAATGAAATTTGCGATGGCCACTTGACCATCTCGGCGGGCGCTGGCTTCGTTGTGGTATGCACCCCGCACAATATGACGCTCGACAGGTAGCCCGAGCCTCTCACACCGCTTCTGCAACTCCTCGGCGTGATGGCGGGGCACGAGTTCATCTTTCTCGGCTATAACAAGCAGGAACTTTGCAGGCTGATGCGACGTCCCATTGGGCCTTGCGATGACCTCGAGGTTTGCTGCGCTGTCCAGTTGGTTTCGTAGGAACGGCCAGAGGTGGCGATATGGCAACCATTTCTGGGGATAGAGAGCCTTGAGCATCGCGCGGATCGAGAGGAACGGCGTTTCCAATATGACAGCATGGACTGGGAGCAAATGTTGGCTGGTGCCCCAGGCAAGGTCGCCACGGGTTGCCACTGTGGCGGCTAGATTAGTCGCAAAGCCTGCGCCGATGCTTTGACCCCACAAGATAAGAACGGGCCGTGTACGGCAGCTGTTGCCGGAGGGGTACAACCGGGCGTGTGTGTCGGATGCCCATTTCCAGGCTGACACAGCATCCATGTTTATTCCATTTTCGGATGGGCGCCCCGAGGACTTCCAATACCCACGGTAGCTCACGCAGGCCATGGTGTATGCGAAGGATGACCCAGTGCCCCGTGCTGCGAGGAGAATGGAAGAAAGTGAGGGCAACCGAGGAGGTATAGACGCGGCGTTTCCTGGACAGATGCATGAGCTTGTCTGACGCGTAGCCTCGCTTCAACCCGCGTGCCCAATATGCTCACTCACCTTGGAAATATAGAATGTAAATGTGAGTTTCAGGTGTCTGACTGAGGCTAAGAGTAGGAGATGATGACGCGACTGCAATTGCGAGCGAAGTGCCATCCTCGGAATGAAGCCGTTCGTACTGCCACACCACACCTCGACAGTCGTGGCTATAGTCGCCTATTTCCTCGCGGCGCGTCCCCGGCGGCAGTCCTGGCATGTAGATAATCTTGTTCTGGAAAATCACCATCATGGCACACTTCCAGGTCCACAGGGCCGCGAGCAGGCCAGTGAAGACCAGCGGCGGCGCCAGAAGGGCCTCTACATGGACCCATCTCGTGGACTCCCGCGCAGGTCCGTCGAACCACCTGGTTGCGCCGCGTGGAACTGGGCCGGACAGGAGCCACGGTAGTGGTGGTGGTTGGGGCGTGCGACGGCAACCCGTCCGGGCTGTCCACCGCAGCCTCGCGTAGCCGTCGCCCACAAAGCCGCCTGGGGTGCCGGGCAAGGAGGCACAGGCGCAGCACAGCCTGGGCACAGAAAGTACCGGCATCTTCGCTGTCGTTGGCGAACTCCACGTGGGGGCGAGACCACTTAGCTGCTGTATCAACCACGGCACGAAGCTCGATGGCGGGGACTGCAGGGTCTTAGCGATCAAATTGATGAGCGGCTAGCGACAAGCTTCTAGGGGTTCGAGTGCCAAAAACGTCAATTGCTGGGCGGTTCCACTGGCAATCCGTCCAAAAGCGGCTGTTTCGCCGCCTGCAGCACCCCACCATTGATGACATCAAATTACCACGGCCGCCGCCTGTCTCGTCCATCGTGCTGCCTCGCCCGACACCTCGTTTGCTGCCTGCGCTCAAAACACCAGCACAGCATTGCTCACTGTAAACGGCACGACAACTCACCCGAATATACGATACTCACTGCCGACAGTCAGGCCGGAGGTGCGCACCCATCACAAAACGGACAGCGACGTCCGTAATTCGAAATCAACCCCCGCTCTCGTCACCGAACCGCGCAAACTGCTCTAGCTAGCCAGAGCCTCGCAATGCCCAACAAGCCTGAGGAAGGGGGCGAGAAGCCGCCGCCGCCGCCGCCGCCGCAACAGCAGCCCCAGCCCCACCCCCAACACATCGAGATCGCAAGCGGCGAGCCCGGAGCAACACCAGATGACCAGCCAAGTCCCGGGCTGAGGAATAGCAAGGGATGGGATGGCAAGCTGAGGGTCTCCAAGAACGCGCTCGTTTCCAACCCGGAGGCTCTGTCAGACCCAGAGTACTCGGACGACGAGAACGTCAACCCTGGCGAGGTTATACCAGCAGATGAGGGTAAGTCGGAAGCATGCCACACGCCCTCCTTTGTTTCTCCTCGTGACCTGACGCTTACACGCTGCGGCAACAGATCTGCTCGACGGAGAGCCGTCCGACACCGAGGAGCTCAACATCACACACTCCCGTGTCCGGAGCATTCCCAGCCTCCGGCTCGAGAGGTTTAAAAAGGTTGCGGGTCTGTGTCTCCGCCAGAACGCCATCCAGGACATCGAGGGGCTCGCGGGCCTAGCAGGCTCCCTACAAGAGTTGGATCTATACGACAACCTAATCACGGGCATACAGGGCCTCGACGAGCTGGCATCCCTGACGGTGCTGGATCTCAGCTTCAACAAGATCAAGCGTATCGAGAAGGTGAACCACCTCAAGCAGCTTACGGACCTGTTCTTCGTGTCCAACAAGATCCGGGAGATTGAAAACCTTGAAGGGCTGGACAAGCTCCGCATGCTGGAGCTAGGCTCGAACCGCATCCGCGAGCTCAAGAACCTAGACTCGCTCAAGGCGCTCGAGGAGCTGTACGTGGCCAAGAACAAGATCACGGAGCTGCGCGGTCTCGCCGGCCTCCCGCGGCTCCGGCTGCTCAGCATCCAGTCCAACCGCATCCGGGACCTCTCCCCACTCAGGGACGTGCCGCAGCTCGAGGAGCTCTACGTGACACACAACGCGCTCGAGTCGCTCGAGGGGCTCGAGCACAACACGAGGCTGCAGGTGCTCGACATATCCAACAACCAGATTGCCAGCCTCAAGGGGCTCGGCCCCCTGAAGGAGCTCACCGACGTCTGGGCCAGCTATAACCAGGTGGCCGACTTTGCCGAGCTCGACAGGGAGCTGCGCGACAAGGAGAAGCTCACCACGGTCTACTTTGAGGGGAACCCGCTCCAGCTCCGGGGCCCCGCCCTGTACCGCAACAAGGTGCGGCTAGCACTGCCGCAGCTGACGCAGATCGACGCAAGTAAGTTGGCAACTTTCTCTTCCGGGCGCTATTGTCCTTGCTTGTGGGTGAAACGCATCTGGCTCTAACAAATACTCTTCACCCCCCCAACAGCGCACACCCGTGTGACCTGAGTGTTTTTTTTTGTTTCTCGCTTCATACCCAAATCTATACCCGCTTTGGCCGATGCCTTCTCAATATACGCTATGAGTTACCATGAACCGTTTTCATTGTCGGGGGCATGCTTTGTGCGTCTCCTTCCGGGATCAATGCCGAGACAGCGAGCAGCGCGTGAGCCCCCTCGAGTCGGGGTAGTCTCTCCAAGTCGCATGGGTGGTTGTGGGACGTGGGCGGGGAGTATGTTTAATTGGGTTCCATGTGCACGTTCCCGAAATGCCTCTGGCTAATGTAGCAATACATCACAGCCCAATAGGCGACACAAGACATGTGGCATACCCGGATCACGTCACACGCGCTTACCTTTATACGTAGGAGTCGAACAAGAGTTTAGGTCATGAAAATCATTAACGGCTGCCAACTAGCAAAATACTACCGTGTAGTCCTAGGATCGAGAGGGAAGACAGGAACAGACAATCCTCGTGGTTTCGAGGTGCAAATGTCATCCTCCGGGATTCTAATGGTCGACAGCAGCCGGGCAATAAAAAACAGAACGCGCCCGCATTTAACCAAAGATGTAGAGGGTTGAGCCCGGGAAGTACTGTTTTCATCAAGGTTAGTGAGGGGACCGAGGCGGGGGGAAGGGGGGCAAGGACCCATGACGGCGGGAACAGGCGAGACTCACATTTACGGGCTCGTTGAAGCGCGTCTTGAGGTCCAGGGCCGTGATCTTGGCCAGGTCGTCGGCGGCAATGTCCCAGGCCAGGATGTCGAGGTTCTGGCGCTGCTGCTCCTCGGACGTGGTCTTTGGGATGACGGCAATGCCGCGCTGGGTGGACCAGCGCAGCAGGACCTGGGCGGCCGTCTTGCCGACCTTCTTGGCCACGTCGAGGATGGTGGGGTGCTGCAGCAGGGGCGTCATACGGTCGGCGTGCGGGAAGTGGAACTCGACGAACGAGGCCGGGCCCAGGGACGAGTAGGCCGTCAGCTGGATACCCTCGTTGGCGCAGAGCCGGACCAGGTCCTGCTGTACGTTGTAGGGGTGCATCTCGACCTGGAGCGTGGCGGGCGGGATGCGGGCGTAGCGCAGCAGGTCGTAGAGGAGTTGCGACTGGAAGTTGGATACGCCGATGGAGCGGGCCAGGCCGGCGTCGACGAGCTTCTCCATGGCCGTCCACGTGTCCTGGATGGTGGCCTTTGACCGGCGCATCTCCTTGCCCTCGGCGTCGTAGTGCCAGCCCGGTGGGTAGCGCACGGCCGGGTCGACATACTCGAGCGCGACGGGGAAGTGGATCAGGTACAGGTCGAAGTAGTCGATGCCCCAGTCGGCGAGGCCGCGGCGCACGATGGGCTCGACGCGGTCGTGGTCGTGGAACGTGTTCCAGAGCTTGGACACGATGAAGAGGTCCTCGCGCTTCACGATGCCCTCCTTGATGGCGCGCGCCACGCCCTGGCCGCACTCGACCTCGTTGCCGTAGTCTAGAGGGGAGAGATGTCAGGTTGTGGACATCATGACTGTAGGTAGTAGTTGCGTGGTGATAGGGCAGCGTTGTACATGCGCCAACCCGGTGATGCGCATGTAAGTGAGAGGGAGCGACCAGTGTGGGGCAATTCAGGGGCCCATTCCGCGTGGGGGACCTGGCAGCTAGGTCGCCGCTTTGCTCATAGGGGTACGTGTATGCTATGCCATGGAGCGGGGGACGGCGGGTGAGCACACCACCACCACCATAACACCACCACCATAACACCACACCATACGACACCACCCTTCCCTTTTCTTCATGCAGGCAGGATCCTGCAGAGCGAGCAAAACCCCGCGCGGCCTAATGCATGGAACAACGCAACGAAGGACGAGTAGACGGAATGATTGAGGGGAAAGGGCAGAGGGTACACACCGCAAGCACCGTCGAACAAACGGTAGCCGACCTTGATGGCGTTGTAGACGACGTCGGCGCAGACGTCGTTGGGGACTTTCCAGAGGCCGAAGCCCACCAGGGGCATCTCCTTGCCGCTGTTGAGCTTGACGTTGGGTATCGCCGCCATGTTTGCTGCCGGGTTGTGTTTATGTGCGAGTTTGCTGGGTATCCGTCTAGTCGTGGTACACTGTGTGTCGGCGTGGGTCACAGTAAGGGGGAGGGCGGGAGGGTGAGGAGGGAGAGCATAAAAAGGGGCAGGCAAAACACGGCCACGGGTAGGAATCCGAGGGCTTTATAGTCGCCAGCAAGGAGAGAAAAACAACCGCCGGCTCAAGTGCGGTGGCGGTGACCTTCCTGCTCCCGCCGGCTCGAAGCGCAGGCGCGTGAGTGGCATCCATACCACATAGCCGGCCGTGAGGGGAATGGGACAATGGTCGGCAGGGACGAGGCGGATGGGATATTCATTTTGCCCCCTCCAGGCGGGCACCCTCCCAAGCACATGTATGGGCACCTGCCTGGTGCCGAGCCGAGCAGGTAGGTACAGGTGGTAGGCACAGGTGGCAGGTACCGGGTCTCGCCCCCTCATGATATCCATGGCACTAAGGCTGGTTGATGGAGGCTGTTCAGTGGACACGGACACCTCTGCGGAGTCGTTGGTTACTGTGTATATCCATTGTTGGGGGTGATAGGAGCACGGGAACCAGACAACGTCTTCAGTCCTTCACCCGAGGATGAGTAAGAACATAAATATTGGTATTTCCTTGCAAGATAGGTGGTTATGCTTGTGCCAAGATCAAAATTCTGTAATTGGCTTCTGTCCTCGATGAACATTGAGCCTTCCTTCGGGACTCCTTCCTTCAGGACTCCTTCCTTCAGGACTTGGTCGTGTCCAGCAGTCCCGTTGCTCCTGCCGTCTCCAACTCTCAGCCCAGCAGCAGGCGCAAGCCAAGAGAACCGAGAAGCCTGCAGAACCAACCAATGTGGGGACGCTCCGTCTCCAGCAGACAGTTTGGCCGTCGCTTTTAGGCTATTCTGCGCTGGAACACCACCCGGCGCTGTGTCCCACAATTGATTGCCGCGCATACCCAGTCGGCTAAATCTGAACCACATCAAATCGCGCTTTTTTAACCTCTTCACCTTTTCTTCTCCTTCCTTCTTGTACCGGCTGACGCTTTTGCTCCACACCTTCACCCGACCCCAGCCGCGTGCTCGCGTTGCTGTCGCCGAGCGGCTGGGCGGCCTGGCCAACGGCCTGGGCTTTATCTTGAGCGCCACTGTCGACGGCTCGTTGGCCGTTTCCATGCCATTTTGCCAGGGCTGGCTCCATGTGCTCTAAGCAGCCTTGGCCCTGGACTTTTGGGATATGAGGGGCTTGAAGATCTTCTCTTCTCCCTCCTCTCCTCCAGATCCGTGGGGTTGCATGCCATGGCCTGAGGAGTGAGGATCCGAGCCTTAGGTTGTATTCTCTGTGTGCGTTCCCTCAAACGCCCAGCTCCCTCAGCCAAGATCGAAGTTCTGATACAGGCATGCGCACCCGCCGCCCGTCTCAGGTGCCGCGCCCAGCCCCGGCGCAACCGGCCTGCCGTCAAAGTCGCGGCAGTCGGGCACGTTGGCGCCGGCCACCTGTCTCTGCGTCATGTTGAACCGGAACGGCCACGGGTCGAAGTTCCAGGTCGCGTTGACGGGCTGGGGCGCGTCGGCAACCCCGGTCTGGTAGCTGGCAAGCTCCCTGGTCCAGACGGTGGCCTCGACGACGGTGCTGTTGTACCAGCACATGGTCGCCGCGGCTCCCCCGCCCCCCTGGCCGCCGGTCAGGCGCTTGGTCGGCGCAAAGGCCTTGGAGAAAGTAAAGTTGAAGGCGAAGCGCTCCGACGTGGTGCCGACGTCGACCAGTCTCGCCGAGACGTTGGCGAACCGCGGCGCAAAGGGGTTGGCCGACGACGAGATGGAGTAGTGCAGCCCCCCGAGCGGCCTGATGACCCACTGGAAGGTTGTGGCCGACGTGTTTGGCGACGATCGGTTGTAGGTGCTGAACGGGTAGCAGCCAAAGGCGGCGGGCTCGACGGTGCAGTTGCTGACGACGCCGGTGAGTGCCCCGGTGAACGAGTATGACCCGGCGGGGAACAGCATCGCCGGGAACTGGTCAACCCCGCCGGGTGGTACTGGGCTTGGTCTTGCTTCATTTCTAGAATACAAGACGAAAGAAAAGCATAGCAAGGGTTTGCTCTTTTGTCAGCAGGGTGTCTTGCAAGCATCTATGGAGTCACGGCCCAAGTGGCCACGCGATGGCGACAGACCTCTGCCCCGGGCGCAGCCCGAGCCCCACACCCAGGCCAACACCCAGGATGGTCAAAACCAGGGCCAGCGCCGCAAGGCAGGCCCTGCACCAGTCTCCCCTCCTCGCGAGCCAGGGGCGCCGGCCGGGCTCCACCTCGACGACATCGCTGCTGCCGCCGCCGAGCTCGGCCTTGTGCTCGGCGAGCTCGTCCCTCATCCTCCTCTTGCCGGCGTGGGCGAACGAGGGCGGGGGTGGACAGGACTGCTCCTGCCGCTGCTGTCGTTCCCACCCACGCCCGCTGCCGTCGTGCGACGCCGGCGACGGCGACGGCAATAACGGTGGGAGAATCCTGTAGCCCGAGCGGCTGCTGCCGCCCTGAACTGAGCGGCGCGCCGACCTCGGCGGGATCGCCGGTGCCGCTGCGTCGTGGCCGCCGGGCTCATCCTCGACGATGACGGGCAGCGGCTGCACGTCCCCCACCAGGGATGTGCGGGCTCCCTGCGGAGGAGCCATTCTTTGTTCGTGTGTGGCGGGTGTGGGTGCTCTTGTCTCGGGTGAGGAGGCGCGGGCCGCTACGCGCACACGAACCAGGCGGCGGCCGGA